ACAAACCTCACAGCCTAAAATGCTGACAACCCAGGCTCATCCAGCCGGGTCCTGGGAATTAATCTCTCCTAATGCAGTGGCACATGGGAACAGATACCTGTGCAATGGCTGTGCTGTCTGTCCCCCAACAGCTTTGTCCTGATCAGAAAGCAGCACCTAAGAAAACATTCCCCATAGGGGAAACAAGAAGAAACTTTTTCCTTCACCAAGAAGTTAATTAATGGAGACACCTGCAAATTGACAGGGTTTTATCCATCCTTAATTAGCCAGTGGAGCCAGACCACCAGGCTACACCTGATCCCCAATTTAATCACACCTGCATTTGCATTTGGGGGTCTCCCCCAAAATTGCTGTGTGGACGTTCCTCCGCACCATGCCAGCCTGCAAGTCCCTGAGGCTGGCACCATGTGTGTCTCTTTATTTGTGTAGTAAGGAGCAGAATAAGACTCTGATTATGAGCAGCTCAGCTATATAAAAGTTGAAACTCAGCAACGTAAAAAATGATCAAAAGAAGCCCAGATGTATTCAATAGCGGAACACATGAAGTCTGCTCAACTGAAATGCTCCAGACACATAATCAGGCACATGTAGAGATCATAAATTGAATAAAATAATATTAACTTTATGGGCACAAACTCACCAGTCTATGCCTTATAAATGACAGACCGGAACAGAAAAAACCTTTCCCAGGAGGTATGATACTGCTTCCCTCACATTTACTGTATCATCACCTGTGAATAACAGAGGGCTAATTGGCAAGGAGGCCATAAGTAGGCAGCATTCAATCCTTGCAGCTCTCAGCTTACAAGTGAGGTTGAATTTTAAGTTATTTTTTTAAAGCAGATACTACTCAAAGAGTTAAAAAATAAGGGGCAAGCAAACAACTAAAACATTGGATTCTGTTAAAGAAAAGAAAGTGTGGTTGGGGAGAGCCAGATATCCTTTTGACTGAATCTTAGATATTTTGGAAAACATCTGTACCAAAGGTAGCACTGATGGATGCCAAACGCTCATTATAGGTGCAACTGTAACTCGCGCAACTTAGTAATTTAAGAGTTTCCCTTTTGGAAAAGAGTCAAAGGCTTACAGAGGCCTTTCATGATGCCTCAGGATGAGGTTTGGGTTCAGATGGATATTATTGCTATTTGTAGCTACAGCAGGAGTCCCTGTGCAATTCCTGCATGGCAGAAGGTGTGCAGCAATTCACTGTCAACTGCTCACAGCATCTCTTCAGACAGTGCACCAAGTCATGACTGGGTCTCCCAAAAATATGTCCTTAAGTTACTGTTGGCACCACATTTAAGACATTAAATGCCCCTCTTTAGTCAAGGGGAGGCAGAAGCACACCTGGAGGGTGACACAGTGCATGGCAGAGCTCAGGGACCCTCCAGGATGTAGCTTTTCAATACTGACTCTTGTTGCCAAAAAATGGTGGGACACATCTCAGCCTTGCTCCTACTTCATTTAATCTGCAGGGATATTCTGGAAGAGCTACCATGCTTTCAGCTGCTCTTCATCTTATCCCAGATGAACTTTCCAGTGAAGACAAGCACTGCTGGACCCCAGGAGAAAAGCTAATAAAGGTAGACAGCGCTGCCAGCAAATAAACCTCATGCTCCTGGATGGCAATGTCCCGGTTATCTGCCTGTAACAGCCCGTGGAAACTTATCACGATCAACTTTGGCACTGTATAATGCCATTTCTTTGCGTTCATATGATTCCCTCCCTCTCTTGTCAGGACCAGCCCCTCCTTCCTGCACCTGCTGACCCACGCAGAGATGTCACAGGGCGTAGAGGAGAGCACTGGGGAGCGCTGGGGCAGCAGGAGAAGGCAGCGGAGAATGGGAGCCTGGGCTCGGTGGTGCCCGGTTGAGGAGTCCTTCCCTGCAGATCCACCACCAGAGCTAAGACCAGTCATGGAAAGTGCTCTGGAAAACAGCTTAGAGACTGTAATGGCAGCAGAAGGTCCCACTGAGACGCAGCTTTTATAGCAGAGGGAAATACCTGAAGAGGGGTTATTGAAAAAGAAAATGTTTACTATTTTCCTTTACAAGATAACTCCTTTTACCTTGGCTTTTTGGTGCTGAGATTGCAAACAACGGCAAATAACAGCTTTCAAAGCGAGGAGGGCAAATCAGCCCTGCTGCACCCTCGTGACGCGCTGCACGAGACCCCGAGCCCACTGCCCTGCTGCCGTAGCACAGGGCCAGTGCTGGCAGGGAGCCCACGCAGCCAAGCTGGCCAACACAACTTAAGAAGGACCATCCAGGCAGAGGAAAACACCCCTGATGAGGAAAAACACCCCAGAGGCACATGGGTTATACTGGACTTGCAAGGCCATGGCGAGAGCAGCCCAAGGAGCTGGGGCTGGGCAGCCAGACGTCCTCTGCAGCAGGAACGCTGCAGCCCCGGCAGCCCCACGGCTCTGCAGATGTGCAGAGGTGACCGCAGAGGCTTGGGGCTTCATCATGGCCTCACATTCTGCACCCTGTGAACAAGGTAACTGGGATCATCCCCAGGTTTTCACTTGCTCCTTGAAAAGAGGGGTAGGGAGGCACAAGGGGGGTGGCTTGCAAGCTGGACTTGCAAGTCCTGGCTCAGCAGCCAGGGACTGGCATGGCGGGCAGTGTGAGTGAGGGTCTAGGAGGCTGCCTGCCTAAAAACTTGAAGAATAAACACGTTTGCATTTGTTTTCAGGTGATCCGTGCCAGGCTACAAACCATAGGTATTTCATGTGAGATCTGTAAAGTCCAAAACAAAAGACTGGGGAAAAATTAGGAGATAGAGGGAGTTAGAATCAGAATTAGTCAGATGAATTAAATATAGCAAAGTCATTAGGGATTAATTAAGAGGTTAGCCTACACAGGCTGGATTTCACTTCGTCCAGGCTGTTTGTTATCCCCACGTGACAGCATCAGTACAGGGGAAGAGCTATCCTCCACCTCCTGAAGAAATTAATTCTCAGGCAGAGCAGAACTGCCACCACCACCCGGCCAGCCTCTGAAGGAACCGGCAAGGTGCGCAGAGCAGCTGTCCTCTGACACCTGAGTCTGCAGAGTGTTTGGGGACATCCCTGGGACAACTCCTAAGCAATCCTGCAATGAACCCTGAGGGAAAAGGAATAAAATCTGCTTGTAGAATGTACCCAGAGCAGCAGCCAGGACTGCAGAAGCCCTGCTTGACCCACGGGACACAGCCATGCTGCTGGACAGCTCACTGCAGCATCCTGCTTGGGGCTGAGCTTTTTACCAGGGGACTGCACCAGCCCCCCTCGGGGATCAGCAGGAGCTGGATGATGTCCTGCTGTCCTGGTACAAAAACCTTTGGCTTTCGCTCCAAGGCTTACACAGTGATTAATACAAGAGAGCGGCCCTGCATGTTTTCGAATCAGAAATACGCACACAGAGGTGCTTCTCTTGCCAAGCACAGACGGAGAGCATCACCAAGAGAGCAAAGTTGCTGGCAGTGAGCCATGAGGGTTTTGTGGCCCATCACAGTTACTTCTGAGCCCTGAGATAATCATGATGGCTGTGCTGTGAGACAAGAGGAGCCAGAGCCAAGCTGCGCTGGCAGGACCAGACCCCCAGGACTGTGCTGCACCACGATGGAGAAGTTCAGACACCCTATAAGGCCTTCAGGAGAATGAGCCTTTGGGGGGTTATCACCTGCCCATGAAAGAGAAGCCCACAGCAACAGGAAAATACTGCAGCCACCCGAGAACGCTAGATACAGAGCAAAGGAGCA